TAGGCAGCACCTGCCTCAGCCCCACTCCCTCCCTTGCCATGGGGGCCTTGATCTGCTCCCCAACACCCCTTCCCTCCCCCCTCCCCTTCTCCCAAAACAGACTTACCAGCTGCATGCTGCTCTCCATGTTGTATTGGAAATCAGCTATGGGTGTCAGCTCCAAAAATCCCTATCAGTGCACCCCTAATAAATATTAGACTATTAAAACAGATTCTTTTTTATTTAAAAAAATATATTTTAAAAATAAACCTGTTTAAATTTTAAATTGAAAATCAAATTAAGGATTCTGTTTACTATAATACATTAAAATCATTTACATGAGATTTTTAAACAGTTCTGCATAACTGTAGGTGTTTTATATATAAAGTGAAGTGGAAACATTTTTAACTTCATTCAACTTGCATTTTAAAAATAGTGCGTGTGCTTCAGTCAGTACCTTTATTGTAGATTTTTAAAGGGGAGAAAATTCTAGCATTTATATGTTTGTCAGATGTTAGTGGATTGAGTTCTGTTGTGCAGAAAACCTGATTTTGGTCACGTTTTGGTTTTAGTTCTGGCAGCAAGGGCAGAAACAATATCATCTTCATTTAAACTAATTAATTCAAAGTAAAGAAACCAACTGCAAAATGAAAGTTTGTTTCCTTCTACTGATCAGTGAGTAAAAGCCATCTAAATGCAGCTTAAAATAAACATGATCAAAAAATGCTTCTTTCAGCATTTGCTAACATAATAAACTGTATAGTTTAACATACATTTATTCAGATACTTAATCTCTGTTATTGTTTGCATAAATGTGCATAGAATCATAGAAAATGAGGGTTGGAAAAGACTTCAGGAGGTCATCTAGCCCAACCCCCTGCTCCAAACAGGACCTTGCCCTGTCAGATCATCCCAGCCAGGGCTTTGTTGAGCCAGACCTTGAAAACCTACAAGGATGGAGGTTTCCCCACCGGTCTAGTAACCCGCTCCAGTGCTTTGCCACCCTACTAGTGAGAAAGTGTTTCCTAATATCCAGCCTAAACCTCCCAAGATAGATATAGTGCATGCTCCTGCTTAGCAAAAAGGAGGACCAAATTGAGTGTAGTGCCTATGTTTTGTTGTAATTCAGTGCATTTTAAAGATTATCCAAACCAGTGAAAATCAAACTCTCTTCAGGGAATGTAGCAAAAATGTAAAACCAAGATTAAAATTAGTGATTTTCAAACAACATGATGGTTACTGAGTCTCCCTTGATGCTCCTTAGAACCTCTGCTTAACCGTGTTTCTTCAGGAGAGGTGACTTGTGACACTCTCCAACATCTTCGACGTATGGTTGTTTCCTCCAGTATCATCAAAGGAATGCACCCTCATATCTCAAGCAGTCTGTCAGGAAGGATGTGGCCTCATCAGAACATCCCTCCATCTGCAAGGGGTAGTGCAGACGCACTCTGGTGCTGCACCCTGTCAGCTGGTTTCAGATGGGCTCAGAAAGATCTCAAAAAAAAGGTCACACGTCTTGTAAATGAGTCAAAATGGCTTCTAATCACAATGGTTCAGCCATTTGGAGAACCAGACTTACATCATGTGACTTGTAACTGATCACAGTCAACCAACCAACCTGAAATTCAAAGAAGAATCTGTGGAAAAAATGCAGCAGAGCTTGCAGCTAACTTAAGAACATAAATATGCAATACAATATTTGCTGAAAGTCTTGGAAATTTTGCCAAGTAGCTCCACCTCCCCAAAAGCTTTACAATCTCAAAAACAGGTCAGTGTTGATGTAAAATCATTTTGTTTGAATATTTGGCTTATGTCTGTTAGCAACCCACAGTCAGAAATAAATTCAACCATCTTTTTCTTTTTTTGATTGACAGTATCCCTTTAAGCCCAAGGGAAGGAGATTTCTGTTTTTTATTCACAAACGCAATTCACCTCATGGATGGCTGTCTGATGATATGATTGTGCTGCAAGGGGAATTGAACTTCAGACATGACAGCACCAGAAAGGCTTGATCAGAGCTCAGGGCCCTAGTCCAGAAGGAATCATTCTGTGTCCTTTTCAGAAATGACTCCGTTAGACACATACACTTCGAGCTGTGACTCCAGAGACAGCTGCTTCCTGTTCAGTGCTTTACCTGCATTTGGGTTGTCTCCGACTTAGTCAAATACTGATACATTGAGCCAGTTATTAACTGGGAGAAGACAGGGAGAAGGAGACCTGAAACAGTGACCCTGAGCCTGAACCAAATCCTGCCAGTTTTTCTGCAGCCAGAGGGCATCAGTTCATTGGGAAAAGCAATAAGACAATAAACCTGGGAAATGTTGTAGCAGTGCTGTAAGAAGCCATAACAACACTGGGACCAAATAGCCACACATGTAGCTAGTTTTGGTTTGCAGTCTTCAGACTGATGCACAAAAGTGATGGGCCTGAAGAAAATACCACTAATACAGCATGGCATAGTCACAAGCGAAAACCCCTCGTCTTTATGGAGAATCTACAGAAGAAGGGATTATCAGAACCTCAGAATGTAACTGTGGATTACTGAAGATCTTCTAATCGCTTGATCTTTGAATAGGTTCTTCTCAGAATAGCT